AAGATAATGGTCAGATTTAATGAAATAGAAACCTGTCTGTTTACCATAAGAATCATTTTAATCTGAGTTAGAACAAAGAGGAAGAAAAGGAAAAAGCAGGAAGAAAACTATTTACTATTTCTAAATATCACTGTAATTCCAATACTTCATCAATTACTAACCTAGTGATTTTGTTCAGATACTTTGTGATTATATCCATGAATTTTTCCAAGCATTTCGTTAAAACACGAAACAACTATACTCTCACTCTTGATTTTAAACAATCTTCAAATTTCTTAAGACAATTACAGAAGTGTAACAAATTATTAAATATAAGGTTTTAAGAACTATCAGAAAATGAAGTATTAGAGTCACTCCCCAAAGCCAAAGCAAAATGGTTCTCAGAAATTTCTTTTTCTGTAGAAGTTAATGAAAAACACCAGAGGGAATACTAACAGGCATTGTGATGACACCACATAGCATTTCTTCCACACATGAAATTAGAAGGGAAAATGTCAAGTATATTGAAGTTGTAATATACTAGAACAGAGACATTCATGCCTTTGAGAGAACAACAAATTAAAATCAAATACTATCAAACAAGAGCATTCCCTTATGTTTTGGAAAGAAAAAAAAAACCTTAAGAAAGCTGTTCGAAAAATGGCCAACATGCAGGGACTATAAAGTCTGATGTAAGAAAAATAAAACTTGGGGTAATATTTACATATTAATAGTAGTGAAGTTGGCTTCAAGTTTACTGTGTTTCTAGGTGGCATAAACACAAACAACATTGAGAAATGAAAAGAGCACATTTCTCTTGAATACACTGTATTAGTAAGTTCTTCCTACTCCAAGCAAATGTCAGTTTGCTTATAATGAGACTTTCTTTGTTCACTATATTGCCTACAGGATTTAAATATAATCTGGCTCACACAGAATTTAAGCACCAGTGCTATGCTCTAAGAACATGATTTTAAGAGTATGATACAGTTTTAAGGAGTATTATAGTTACTGCTCTCTAGGCAGTCCAGTCTAGTCCGCAAATGCCTGGTAATTTTCAGTAAGAAGCAGTGTCCTATAAGAAGAGTTTTATTCCACACAGAATCTATGCTGTTACTATGACTCTTACTGAGACAAATTTTCCTTAAGTGAATCATTTCCTGGAGGGCTAAGAAATTATAATCTTGGGCCTCCCCTGGTGGCGCTGCGGTTGAGTGCTGGGCTGCAAGACTGCCCGCAGCCTCTGCAGCACAGGTTCATTCCCCGGCCGCCGGCCAGGGTCCCACAAAAAAGAAATTATAATCTTTATGGAAAGCTGTGTGGAGGTTCCTCAAACTACTTAAAATGGAGCTACCATATGACCCAGTAGTTCCACTCCTAGGGATCTACCCAAAGGACACAAAAACATTAATTCAAAAGGATACCCATACCCCTATGTTTATTGCAGCATTATTTATAATAGGTAAGATCTGGAAACAACCCAAATGCCCAAAAATAGATGACTGGATCAAGAAGGTGAGGTACATATACACGATGGAATACTATTCACCAACTAAAAATGATAAACTCAGGCCATTCTCAGCAACATGGTAGAGCTGTAAGGGATTATGGCTCAGTGAAATAAATCAGAAGGAAAAAGAAAAATATCAGATGGTTTCATTTATAGGAGGAATATAAGGAAAGCAAATAAGGGATCAGGGAGAATAACCGTAATAAAAAAATTAACAGGTAACTATATATCAGAGACACTCTGCAGGGGAGGGAGAGGGAGAAGGATTAAAACAGGGGAGGGACTATGGCAATGATGCACAGGTGAAGTGGAGATGGGAATTCTTAAGGACTACACCTGAGAGGAGAAAGCAAACACTGTACAAAAATGAATGATGTAAAAATATATATAAATAAATTACATTTAAAAAAAGAAATTATAATCTTTAATTACTCTGCTAGGGAACCTTCTCTGTCTTTCCCACTGGGACCTTAAACAGCATTAAAGTTTTCTAGTATTTTACCTATATCTTACTGAGTTTATCATTCAGTGAGTTCATAAATAAACAGGAAAATCAACAGGCTACCTCTGGAATTCAAAAGTTTGACCCTAAGCCAGATCAACACATCAGCCTACCAGTCAAATCCATTACCACGCCTCTTCCCCCCAAAAGACAATACATATGGTCATGAGCATATTTGCATTATGCACACAAACCCTCTTGAAAGCTGGCAAACTACTAATTTGAGGAAAAGTCTGAAATAAACATGCTTTTCTGCTGGGTTCCCTCAGCTCTCTGCTTAAGGAAAGAAAACTCAGATACTTTTCAAGGAACCCTGAAAGAGTGAAAGGGTCAAATTCTATGCCACTTACATTCTATGTCTATTTTACAAAAAAATCAACAACCCTTGTAACTACTGCCCAGCTCTGCATATTCTACATCAATAAGAGGTGACAGCAATGGTAACAGCAAATTAGAAACAGAATTCTGAGAGATATATTTATATCTAGATAGATATTTATATTTTCATCCTTTAATTTTTATATTTCAGACTATTTTAAATGACTCTGTTTAAAAAAGTTACTAATTTCTGGGCCTCCCCTGGTGGCGCAGCGATTGAGCGCTGGGCTGGGAGGCTGCCCGCAGCCTCTGCAGCGCCAGTTCATTCCCCGGCAGCTGGCGAGGGTCCCACCAAAAAAAAAAAAAAAAAAAAGTTACTAATTTCTTCTTATTTCTTCTTATTGTTCCTAGCTTAGTTTATCATTTAATCCTCTGATCTCTGATTTTTTTTTTAAATGTTGTTAGTTTCTTAAACTTTTTTTTTTTTTTAAAGATTTACTTATTTATACATCTATACAGGAACTGGGGTACAGGCCAGAATTGTGGGGGGTGAGAGGATTCACCAGAGACAGAGTGGGGAGCAGAACAGGGAGATTGACTGAAACACACTGTTGAGGGGAGCAGCGGGAGAGACAGGAGAGGTCTGCTGTGCCATGTGGGTCAGCTCCCTGGCCAGGATTGAGCTCATGCTGCGTGGCTGCAGATAGCTTCACAGTGCTGAGACTTAACCCCTTGTGCCACCAGGGAGGCCCTGTGTTTTGTATTCTTTGGGTATATACTTAGTAGAGGAATTGCTGGTTTACTTGGAAGATCCATTTTTAATATTTTGAGATAAATCTATACTGTTTTCAGAAGGGCTGGATCAGTTTACATATCTACCAACAGTGTGGGAAGGTTATTTTTCAACATACCCTCTTTAACATTTGTCATTGCTGGGTTCTGTTTGTTTTGTTTAATGAACCATTCTCACAGGTGTGAGGTGGGTCTCATTGTGGTTTTGATTTACATTTTCCTAAGGGTAAATGATGATGAACATTTTTTTTCATGTGCCTGTTGGCCATATCTCTTTGGACAAGTACCTACTTAGATCTTTTGTCTATTTTGGATTGGGTTGTTTTCTTTTTGCTGTGTTGTATAAATTCTTTGTCAACAGCCTCTAGTTGGACACATGGCATGCAAATATTTCTCCTTATTCAGTAGGGTGTGCTTTTGTCTTAGTGTCACAATGGTGCAAAGGCTTTTGAACTTGATGTAGTCCCAACTGTTTATATTTTGTTTTGTTATCTTTGCTGTTGGAGAATTCACAAAGACATCTCTGAATCCTACGTCATGGAGTGTTTTGCCTATCTTCTATGCACTTTATGGTTTCAGGTCCTAAATTCAAGAATGTCCACTTTGAGTTCACTTTTGTGTATGGTGTTGAATAGTGGTCTAGTTTCATTCTTTTACATGTTTGGTTTCCAAATTTCCCAGCACTATTTATTGAAGAGGCTGTCTTTACTGCAACGTATATGCTTGGCTCCTCTGTCATACGTTAACTTGTCATACATTTACTTCTGGGTGCTCAATTCTCTTCCACTGGTCTGTGTGTCTGATTTTTGTTCCAGTATCATACTGTTTTGATGACTGTTGCTGTGCAGTATTGTTTGAAGTTGTAAGTGTGATGCCACCATTATTCCTTGTTTGAGAAATGTTTTGGCTTATTTGGGGTCTTCTGTGGTTCTATATGAATTTCAGTAATGCTTACTCTATTTGAAACTTTGAGACTGCACTGAATCTGTATTCTGCTTTGAGTAAGATGGTCATTTTGACAATGTTAATTCTTCCAGTTTATTTTTTAAAGAACTAGCTTTTAATTTCGTTAATCTTTTGGACTGTCCTTTTGATTTCTATTCCATTTACTTCTCTAATTTTTATCATTATCTACCTTCTACTGGCTTTTAGTTTTCTTTGTTGATCTTTTCCGAGTTTCTTAAAGTGAAAGGTAAGATTGAATGCTTTTTTACTTCCTAATATGGGTCTGTATTACACAATACTTCTCTCTTAAGTACTGTTTTTGTGGTGTCCAAAAGTACTGGAAGATTGTATCCTCATTATCATTTGCCTAGAATTATTGATTTTGTCACTAACCCAATAGTTACTCAGTGTGTGTTGTTCAGTCTCCATGTGTTAGTTATTTTTTGTGGTTGATTTGATTTATAGTTTGCTATCATTGTGGTCAGAGAAGATGACTGGTACGATCTCAATCTTAATGAACTGATACTTATTTTATGACCCCAGACCAATCCTGAAGAATGTCCCATGTGTGCTTGAGAAGAATGTACATTCAGCTTTTTGGAGAATGCAGTGCCCTACGAATGTCTATTAAGCCCATGTGGTCTAATTCTTTGTTTAAGGCTATTGTGTCCTTATTTTTCAGTCTGGTTGATCTGTTCATCGGTGAAAGGGGGGGTGCTGAAACCCCCAGCCACTAATGTATTTTCCCATTATCTGTTTTCAGATTTGATAGTTAATTACCTTATATATCTGATGTTCCTTCATTTGGTGAGTATAAATATATATTGATGAGAGCTACAATTTTCTGATATATTGTTCCTTTGATCATTACACAGTCTCTGTCTCTGTCTCTGTCTCTCTCTCTCTCTCTATATATATATATACATATATATATGAAAACCCGTATTTTCTTACCTGATTGGCCTGGCTTTGCAAATATGCTCTTCTGGCATTCAGATCCTCAAAGGGAGAAGGTCTTAAGCTTCTATAATGCTCACTGGTAACAACTGTCTCTTGCTGAAAAATGTGATCTTTCACTAGAGAACTGGAAGTATCCTCTTCAGTTGCCTAGGGGGAAACAATCCATAACGCATTAGTTGCCAAAATATAATATTTATATATTTACTTAAGTAATTTGTATATTTATACTAATAAATATTTAACAAATCAACAAGTCTATACCATCACAGCACTGAGCAGCAATCCCTAAGACTCAAGTGTACATAGTTAGGAAGTCACATCAAAGTAAAGAAATTAGGGGAAAAAACAACTTTATGAGCAAAACAGGCTTTGTTACAGAAAACAAACTAGGAAGAATAACCATGCCTTGTGAGAGAAATATTGATTAAAAAAAAAAACAGGTACCAAGGTGATTGTGTCATATAGGGAATTGAAAAATGGAAGACTTCAATCCATGACCGTTTTGAATGAGTAAATTAATTAGCCTAATTTTGCTGGTTAGGACTCAAATCATGCATATAGATTTAGGTAGGGAATATATACTAAATGACAATAAACATGTACTTTAAAAATCTCATAAGCAAATTTTGTGAAACAAATGTCAAATAAGTAAAATTAAGCATAACACAAAACAGGAAATAATAGAAGTGTTTTGTATCTTTCTCTTTTTTTAATGAGATAATTGCTATTTATTTTCCCATCACTATACAATTATTGGTGAAGAAACAGGGATAATCAAGTAAAAAATGACTGGAATACTTTTATTGACTCATTCTGAAATAATTTAGTAATCATTACAGGGTGAACAATTTTAAGGATTAAAACCTGTATTAGGGGCCTCCCTGATTGATTGTGCAAGGGGTTAAAGCACAGCGCTGTGAAGCTATCTGCAGCATATGCAACACAAGGTCGATCCCAGGCCAGCCCGGGAGCTATCCACATGGCGCAGCAGACCTCTCCTGCTTCTCCCGCTGCTCCCCTCAGCAGTGTATTTCAGTCAGTCTGACTGTTCTGCTCCCCACTCTGTCTCTGGTGAATCCTCTCACTCCCCACGGCTCTGGTCTGTACCTCAGTTCTTGTAAGCATAAATAAATCTTTAAAAAAAAAAAACCAAAACCACATGTATTGGTTTCTTAATTAAAAATATTGATGTTATTTCTAAAATTAAGCAGTAAAATTCATAAAATAGTTAAGATATTTTAAACTTATAAACTAAGTCCTAGACCAAAGTAGCCTTGGGACATTTAATTTCTTTGGAACTCAGTTTTCTCACTTATCAAATAATTATAACACCTATGCTATGATAAATATAAGGATTCAGTGAGATAAAATATATTAAAAACGCTATGAAAACCAAAAGTTATTATTGCTTCTGGGAATAAGCTGTTAAATCTTAAAAAAAAAAAAAAAAAATGAGACCCTAGTGTCACTTGAAACTATGTCAAGTAAATATGTTAATTGTTATTTTTCATAATCATAATCCTAATGTATGATAATCTAAATTACTGAAAATAAGCAGGCTAAATTCTTTTAAAATCCATGATCAAAATTGGGAAGGGTAAAAAATTATTAAAGAGATATATCTATTTGTTCCAGAGAATTTTCAAAACAACTAATTTTAAAATTAGCAATAGTCAAATATCATTAGTAAGTTGAATAGAAGAAAATATCAAAAAAAATTTTAGATAAAGGGCTTATACTGGAACCTTGACTCATCCAACCATAGTATAAAATTTAAGCAATTAATTTCCCTAAATCACTTTTTCTTTTTATTATAATTTGGGTATGATATCTGTACTGACACTGAGAGAGCTCTGAAATTATAAACAAGCATGAGTTGTTGTAGTAATATAATTATAAAGTGATTATGCTGTTAATGAGAAGAACTATTTAGATCAGGTTAAATTTACTGAATTGTCATCTAACTGAGCCATATAAAAATTGTAAAATAAAATAAAGTTTACTCAGAAATCCTTATCCTAGTAAACAAAAAATGGTTATATAACCCAGGGTTTCCCTATAGTGACTATGTTATTTATATTCTGCAAGTTAAACAACAATACATTTCATTTTGGTTAAGAATAAATACATATACTTCTTAAAGGGGCATATCCAAAGTGTTATTTTGGTGTAAAGCAAATTTAAAAATATGTATAACATTTGAGTAATAGTTTGACTTAAATATGTTCACAAAATAGTTCAAATTAACCTAACTAAAATATTTCACATCACACAATGAATGTCAACTATATACCTACATGGATTTCATCTAATAAAATAACTAAAACACATTCAGTGTCTGATATTATAAAAATGTAAACCCTTCACTATTTAAAAATAGAGCCTACAATCTACAATAAGGTGTATGTGATCCACGAATTGTGAAAACAAATTAATGTATTTAGAGAATCCTAAATTGGAAAAAGGTAGTTTCCTGCTACTTTTGCATACCTCTTTTCAACATTACAAATGTAGATATATGTTAAATTGACAACGTTTAAAAAAACTGGTGCAGGCACAAAATATTTTCCTCAGAATTATTTTTAATGGCAAAAATAAAGACATAAATGCAATATTGCTATAAGGGAAGAGTAAGGAAATTTACTTACTATGATAGGAATACTGAATAGTCAATCTGAAATTAGGTTTTTGAATAGCCAACATGTGAAATATTCAGTGTTAAAAAATCAGTATATAAAATTTACTTACAGTATTGTAACCATAAAAGGATAAAATACTGAAAGGAAATAAAATGAATATTAACACATCCATGATGGTATAATTAAAAGAAATTTTCTAACTTTTTGAGATCTTGGTTACTTTTGAATGGCTCATTTCTTTTAAAGTCTAAGTACATACTTTCCCTCTTTGATACAGAATTAATACTTTACTATACAAAAATATTCTATCAAACTATTCAAGCAATTCAACTTACTAATAAGCCTATCACTTGCTTTTTGACTTAAACAACACTCTCTCCACTCTATATCTGAAATAATGGGTGGAGAGATTCCACAACCCTTGCCCAAGCCCTTCTGGCTTTAATTAGAATCTCTTTATGTCAACAAAATGACAGTATTTTCTAAACAAGTTAAGCTTCTGAGTATCATTCAAATCCATTTTCTCTTCCCTATTCCAGTTATCTACTTTCTTAATGCAAGCCCTTATTTTTTTTTCTGCCTGTCTGATTTCAATAGATTTCTAACTGATCTCCTTGTTTTCAGCCTGCATTCCTATGACTATTCATTCAAGTCTTTCAGCTTTTCTACTCCATGGTTTCCAATTACCAAAAGCTCTGATGGGGGACTCTGCACATGCTGGAGAGGAAGAGGAAGAGAACAGCATTGTCTGAGGAACTCTTTCATAAGATACTTAATTTACTCAGACCATATAAATGGGTCCTTTCCACCAGCAAACAGTGATGTGCCAGGTAAAATCCAATTTTACTTCAGGAAAAAGAAATGGACAATAAATATATGAAAAGATGATGAACTTCATTCAATAAAAGATTTAAAAATATGTTAATTTTACATGAAAGGAAAGGATGAAAAAGAAAGTAATACTCAAAGTTGGCAAAGATACAGAAAATAGAAACATTTTTGTACCGGTGGTGGGAGTACCACTTTATATGGAAAAGGTGACTATACAGAGCTACAAGATATCACACACATTATCATATAACAGTATTTTAAGGAAAAAAAGGAGATGTTTAAAAATTATGATATACATGAGAATTCTCTGCAGCCATGAAAAAGACCTGTATATACAAAATATTGCTAAATGTAAAATACAGTCAGTATGGCATGATTCTACTTGTCTAACTGATAGGAGGGTGGATGGATTTTTATTTTCTTATATGTTTATAAACTGCAGGAAGGATACACACCAAAGTGCCAAAATATTCCCCTAATGCAATATTTACTATATAGGACTAGATACATCATAACATGAAAAATAAAATGAATGTGTTTACTTATTACCTTATATAAGAAAGAATATAACCAATACAATAAATAACTGCTATGTGTTCTTCATCTCATCTCTTCTACTTGTTCACTAGTAGGTAAATATTAAATAGCAGTTGTTGATATTTTCATTATCTTACTCTTCTTCACAGTTTTACCACACAAGTATTATTCCCAAAGCAACATTTAGTATAAATGTGTTTGCATTCTGGCTGATACCAAGGTATTTGAGACACGATTAAGACTTGCTTTTTTGCTCAACTTTTTGGGGTGAAAAATCATTCATATTGACACATAGCAATGGTTCACTCATTTTCATGTCTTTGTAGCAGTGACAATTGATACACTAAACGTGTTGCATTTATTAGACATTGTCCCAAGTACTTTTACATCAGTTAAAACTCATTTAATCCTCATAAAAACCCTTTGATAAAGATAACATTATCCCTTTACTCCATACTAAGAAAATAAAGCTCAAAGAGATTAGGCAACTTGCCTACAATGATAATTCATCTTTGCTGTTACAAACTTTGTTGCTAAGAAGATTCTTAAAAAGATCTCATAGTTCTTACATATAAGTTTCTGTCATACATATCAAGAAGCAGATAGAAATGATGGATTACAGGGTACACATATGCTCCAATTTACAAAATAAAAATTATCTTTCAAGGTGGTTTCAAAAATTTACATACCGGTAAGTGATATTTCATATTCTCACTAATACTAGATGTTATGAGAACTTTCACTCTTGAATATGTATATGTTATTTAATTTCTATGACGGACCAGCCTTACTAAAAAAATCACAGTATGATTATTTCCATGAACAAAACATTCTGAGAATGTACAAAAGAACAAATTTGTGCAGAGATCTGTTACTTTGCCATGGCACACACTGTGGTGTCATTCCCATCTCTTTCAGAAATACTGATGTACTTGTTTCTCTCCAATATCATCTGACATTTCATACTTCTGATTCTTTTGTACATGTCATTGCTTCTGCCCACAATAGCTACCTTCAATTTTTCTACTAGAAAAATTCCTTTAAAACCTGTCATAATCTTCTCAAAAAACCTTTGTTAAGGCACTACCAAGTTAATCACTCGCTCCTTTGAGTATCTTTCTTCCATTATCCTATGTTCTA